GGGGCCCCTCTGCCCCGCCCCCCTCACGCCCCGGCTCCGCCCTAGAGCGCGTGGTGTCCGTGCTCTCCGAGCTCCGGCCGGTGCGCGCCCGCGAAGGCGACGGCGCCACGTTCGAGTGCACCGTGTCGGACATCGAGACCACCGGGAGCTGGAAGCTCGGGGGCCGCCCGCTGAGACCCGGAGGCCGGGTCCGCATCCGACAGGAAGGTCCGGCCGACTCGCTACGGCGCCCCTCGCTGCCCCGCCCCCGGCTCNNNNCGCTAGGATAAGCCCCACCTCCAGCTGGAACGGGCCCCGCCCCGCGGCTCCCGCGAGCCCCGGGTCTCACCCTCAGTCCCCGCCGCTCGTCTCGCCCTTCGGCGGCCCAACCCCGCCCACCCTGGCGCACGTTTACCGCGTCCGAATCGACCGGGGGACCTGCTCCCGTCCCACCCGCACCCCCGAACCCTTCCCAGAGGCGGCTCCGGCCTCGCTAGCGCCCCCCTCGCCCTCAGGGAGGAAACATATCCTGGCGCTGAGCGAGCTGCGCGCGGAGGACGCCGGCGAGGTCCGCTTCCAGGCGGGGCCCGCCCAGTCCGCAGCTGCCCTGGAGGTGGAGGGTAAGCGGCTGCGGCGGGGGCGGCCTGGAGGGGGCCTCACCTTGCCTGGGACTGGCAGGCTGGCGGCTCGTCCCGGGAACGCTGCCCCCACCCCCCTTCCTCGAGGGGCTTCCGGGGGCGGGGCGCAGAGGGCAGTGCGTCTCCTGGGGGAGGAGGAGACTTTGGGTGGAGGGTGCGGAGGAATGGGCCGGTGGCGGAGAGGCCTGAGACCGGGAGTGGAGGCCGCAGGGGGAGGGAAGGTGCGCTTCTCCTCCCGGGGGTCCTGCGCGTCCCTATTAACTTAAGCCCCGGTCCTCTGTCCCCAGCACTGCCTCTCCAGATGCGCCGCCGCCCGCCTCGCGAGAAGACGGTTCTGGTGGGCCGCCGGGCGGTGCTGGAGGTGACTGTGTCCCGCTCCGGGGGCCACGTGTGCTGGTTGCGGGAGGGGGTCGAGCTGTGCCCAGGAGACAAGTATGAGCTGCGCAGCCATGGCCCTACCCACAGCCTGGTCATCCGTGACGTTCGACCTGAGGACCAGGGCACCTATTGCTGCCAGGCCGGCCAGGACAGCGCCCACACGCGGCTGCTGGTAGAGGGTGAGTGAAGCCGACGGGCAGTAGTCATCTAGGAGCTGGTGGGCTGAGACACACCTACCGCACATTTTTCAGGACTTGGGATAGCAAGTTGGTTCTGGGATGTATTGAAGGTAGGAACTGGGGATGCCAGAGATCTCACCCAGGCTGAGGAGAGGAAGGAGCAGTGTTCCCAATAGGAACCACTGGGTGCAGGGCAGCTGCTCCCACCTTTCCACACCCCTTCCTGTCCAGTATTCTCTTCACTCCCTCCTGCCTCTGGACCATGTTTGTCTCACCTGAACACCCCATTTGTACCCAAGTTCCTATCCTTCCCAACTACCAGCTCCTGGTTTGTGTCCCCACCCGTCCCTCACTGGGCTCCTGCTGTCTGCTGGCTTCTGCCCATCTCAGCGAGTTCAACATCAGCCTGGGCAGAGGGCTCCTGTGCTAGTCCCATTTCTTTCCTCTACCACATAGGAGATGCCCCACCCTCCACCCGAATTCCTGCATTCCCTTCAGATTTCTTGCCCCTAACCGGTCCCCACTTTCCTGACCCACAGACAGCCCTGAACAAGGTCCAGAAAGGGTGGGACAGAGGGCGAGGACCCCACTCTTCTGGTGTGGGTGTCCACGCTCTACCAGGGAGGAAGGTGGTACCCACTCTCTCTCCAGCCCCAAGTGGAGTCATTCCTCTGCAGGTAGCTAGAAGGATCGAACCAGGCCAGGCGGGTGCCCTCGGACAGCTTGGAAGGCGCATGCCCTTACCCCAGGCAGGGGTGGGGAGGCAGGGGAACCAGAGGTGTTGGGAGACAATAAAAGTGTTGCAGCCCCTTTCCCTGGCTCTCTGTATGACATAGGAGGGCAGAACTGGACTAGAGCCCTGTGTAGTGAGGGACACAGGGGACCAAGAACTACAGTGCTTCTAACTTGTCCCATGGAAGTGCCAGCCACCGAAAACCACTACTCTTGGCAGAAGCCACACAGTTTGGCACATTTATAAAAGATGTAAAACAAGGTGGGGTGGAGGGAGACAGAAGCATGAGGTGTCCAGGGTGGCATGACAGACACCAGACATGCATCGTGCATTTAAGCCCCCTTACCCCTCCCCAACCCAGCCCAGAGCAGCACCCCCCACCCTCATCCCCTGCCCCTGCCCTCAGGCTGGTGGCTTTGCAGAGGACAGGGAACCAGGGTGAGGGGTGCTACAGTGGGCAAGGACAAGAAGCCTTGGGTGACTCTGGTTGAGAGGCAGAGCAATGGGGGAAGAAGGCAGACCTCCTCCACTTAGACATGCAGGAGAATGGCCCAGGGGACCCCAGCAGTGGGAGAGGAGGTGGGGCCAACCTTGCAGAAGCCCTGCCAATCAGAAGTCTAAGGCAAGGGTCCCAGTGTTCCCTCTAACCTCAACCCTCCATGCACACGCACACACAGGTGACACACTCACAACCCTGAGCACAACCCAAAGGGTCTCACACCCCATGTCCCTTAGGAGCCCCTTGGGAGCTTGGGAGAAGGCTTTCCCTCAGGCGAGGCCTAGCCTGAGACAGGTCCTTCCTTATAGCAGCCAGGCCAGTCCTCTCCAGGGTGGGGAGAGGGACAGCCATAGGCTACAGGGCCAGGTGGGCTGGGTGATTGCCCAGCAGACCTCCGCAAGCCAACGGAGCTGGTGACCACAGAGTCAAAGTGGGCAGGAGCAGCTATACTGCTATACTCGCACAGGGGGCCCTGCGCAGGCTGTCAGTGGTCCTCGGGACCCATATTCATAGTCTGTATCTGTGGGTGAGGCCATGAAGGAGCTCAGTGAGCTCCCCGTCTGCCGGTCCCGGAAGCTCTGGATATAGCTCTGTGGGAGAGTAAACACAGATGTGAGTATAGCCACAGACCCCTGCCCTGAGAGCCACCTCAGGCAGACATCCTCTCTCTGCGCCCCCACAAGCCTGAGACTCACCCCAGACTGCCGTAGTCCAGGACCTCATTCACACTCATAGTCTTTAGCCCTGAGACCCTACCCCATAGCATACCTTATTAAAATTCTTACTCAGACACCTTTCCCCATCCCAGCACTCAGTCCATCAGGCTCCTGGTGCAGGGGTTACGATGGGTGGACAAATGCTAGGCCTTCTAGACAGTGACTAGCCCCTGGGGAAAGCCCAGTCCTGCTTGGACAGAGTTTACAACACTCCCTTGTCCCCCATTCGGATTGGAGGGGCTCAGAGTGCTCACCGGGGAGAGGACGTCTCCATTGAAGCGTTTGATGGGCACTGGCCTGCGCCGATAAGCAGGGTCAGGGGGCCCAGGCCTTGGAGGAGCCCGGGGGCCTCTGGAGGGAGCCCGGGGGGGTCTCTTCTTGCGCCGCTTCTCCTTGCGCTCTTCCTGCTGCCTTATCCGCATCAGCTGCACACGGCGTCGCTGCCGGCTGATGACCACTGTGAAGAGATGGGCAGAGAAGGGTCTCAGAGGCCCACATGCATCAGCTCCACACTTCCTACCTGGGGGCTGTGGACTTCCAGATTCCCCTTACCTATAACCTCCCCGCTTTCCTTCCCTGGTCTCCCACCTCCCAGATGGGACTTCCATTGTTCTTTACCTCTGAAGATCTTTATGGAAGATTCCTAGACTTCTAAGTACCCCCTCCCCAGCTGTTACCCCTTCTCCCAACCCTGGTGACTCAGGAGACCAGCCATCATCTCTCTACTGGATAACCAACCATAGCTGCCCCACGCTGGTTTTCCTTCTACACTTGCCTTCCCCAGTGCTTGCCACACTCAGCAGCCAGAATGAGCATTCCAAATGCTAAATTAGCTCATAGCCTCCCTGCTTTAAACCTCCAACAGTATCTTATTGCCCTCCTAATAAAACCCAGAGTCCTCATCATGGCCCAGAGGGCCCACACAATTGGCATCCCTCAGCAACCACAGTCCAGCCCCACTTCCTCAGTGAACCAAGCCCATTCCTTCTCAGGCCCCCATCCTTGCTGTTCCCTTTTTTCTAGCTCTTTGCATCGCTGGTCCCTTGTCCTTCAGGACTCAAGTGTCACCTCTTCCAAGTAGCCTTCCTTAAGTAACCTCTCTATAATAGCCTCTGAAGGTCGCTGTCAGATTACCCTGCATATCTCTTTCATATCACTGCACAACTGGAATGAATTATTGTGTTTGTTGGGTGTCTGCATCTGTCTCTCCCGACCCAAATCTAACTTCCTAAGGGCAGGGACCTGCTGTATCTCCGGTTCTGGAATGGGCTTAGCACAGAGCTGCTGCACCATACATTGTTGTGGAATGAGTACCACTGAGGTCGTACCTCCCCAGACCATGATCCAGTCACCTAACCCTGTTGAGGCCTTCCGCTGCTGGTGTGTACAGCTTCTTCCCCACTCCCCAATTGCTCACCCTGCCCCATTTCTTATGACCACCCTGGTCTGTGCCCTCTCACCTTCTGTGTGGGAGTCCCCCTCGGCCGTCACCCGCCACTGCACCAGAACGCCCATCAGGCTGAGCAGGGGCCAAAGCGCCAGCAGGGCCCAGCTCCGCCAGCAGAGGGGAGGCACAGGGGCAGCGCGCAGCCGCTCCACGGCGTAGCGCCCCAGCAGCAACAGCTCAGCAAAGTAGTCAGCAGCAGTGGCGATGAGTGCAGCACCGGTCACAGCGGTGGCCAGAGTGGTCAGCGGGCGGGGCCAGCGCAGCGTGAGCAGGGCGCAGAGCAGGCCGCCCCCCAGCAGCAGCCCCAGTGGGCTCCACACGGAGCCCGGCTGGTAGTAGGGGGTAGAGCCCAGCAGGGCAGCAGCGGCGAGCAGCAGACCAAGCAGCAGCCCCACCAGGAACAGGCCCACGCTGCGCACCAGCATGGCCACCAGCCCGCACAGCAGCCCGATGCCCAGTGCGATGCCCGCACTCGCCCCTGCACTCAGCTGTGTCTCCAGCACCCGCTCTCGGTAGCACAGCAGGAAGATGACCACAGAGCCAAACAGCAACCCAGTGAGGAAGAGCACTGCCTTGAAGCAGCGGTAACCTAGAGGGGAACAGGGGCCAGTGAGGGGCCAACAGGAGGTAACCCAGCTGGAGGCAAGGGGACTGAGGGGTCAGGAACATGGAATCACAGGGGAACCAGAGGCAGGACACTAAAATAAGAGAACTGGGGGTCAGTGGGTTCCTGACGGCACCGGTGATGGGGCCAGTGGGGTCAAGGGAGGTCAGAGAGATAGGTCACTAGGAGTTACTTGGAAAACACAGAGGCAGTCATTGAGATAAATGTTGGATCTTTGAGGGTTAGGGGAGTCAGAGATAAGTCATTGGAATCAAGAGTGAATAAGTGATAGGGTCATTGGGGTCTTTGGAATCATAGGGTCGAGAAATAGGTTACTGGGGTCACAAGGGGATCAGCAAGGGAGTCATTTACTGGGGTCTGTGAGGAGGGATTGTTCAGAGAGATGAGGTATTTGGAAGTCAGAAAGAATTTGAGAGATGAGGGTCACACGGGTTCAGAAAGATGAGGTCTTGGAGGGGTCATGAGGCTTCAGAGACATGGCATCATTGAAAGGTTACAAAGAGAAAAGAGAAGCAGGGTTATTAGGGACTGGTTCCAGGAGATAAGGCCTTTGCAGGTGGAGGGGGGAGTGACAGATGTGGAATAATTGAGAGTATTAAAGGAATTCAGAGAGAGAGTAACATTGAGGCCAGAGAAATGGGATTATTGAGATCATGATGGGGGGAGGAGCAATCAGGCAATCAGATCCTAGGGATCAGAGAGGAGAAAGGAGTCAGGGATAGAAGGTGATGAGATAACTGAGGGGTCAAAAGGGGTTACAAAGGGTCATATAGGGTGAAATAGTGGTTGTGGAGTTCCAGGAAAATGGAGGCTATAGGGCCATTGGGCCCATTAGGGGTACCCAGAAGAGTGAGGGACTTGTAGATCCTGAACAGTTGAGAAGATGGGGTTAAAGGGGTCAGGGAGAGCCAAAAAGAAAGGTCAAAGAGAAGATTCAGTTCTAGGAATGAAGGGAATCTTCAGAATCCAGGAGGTACTGGAGTCAGAAAGAGGAGTACGGCATATACAAGGGCTCAGAGTCCAAGAGCTCAGGAGTGGGGGCATCCAAGAGGGGTAAGGTGGCAGGAAAGCACAGGAGAGGGAATGTCGGGGTGTATTGATTAGCTGCAGAGGGATTGGGTATGGATAGGGGAGGGAGCAAGGTGACAGACTCCTTGGAGGCCCAGAATGTGTCCTGAATCCTTAGAGGGGCACTTCCTCCTCCCCACTCTGCAGTTGTTCGGCCAAGAGTTTGGGGGTGGAAAGAAAAGGACCATCTGGCTCCCATTCTTGCCAACTACCCAGCTATTCTAGGGGGAGGTGTAGAGGCATCAGAGCACAAGTCTCGCCCCACCTCTGCCAAGCCTGGAACCCAGACCTCCAAGCTTCCTTTGCACTTCTTCCAATCACTTATAATACTCCTCCTGGAGGCTTTCCTTGGACCCCCAGCCAACAGACATTGCTCCCCTCTCTGTAACTCTTGCTGTGGAGTCACTGGGCTTTTACTCCACTAGTCTACCTGGCACCTTTGTGCACATTAGAAAAAGGTGTGCCACCCTGGTCGGTGTGGCTTGGTTGAGCATCATCTCACACACTGAAAAGCCACTGGTTTGATTCCCAGGTAGGGCACATGCCCAGGTTGTGGGTTCCATCCCTGCTCAGGGTGCATGGAGGAGGCAACCAACTGATGTGTCTATTATTTATTGAAACCCTACTAATTCTCACATCAATGTTTCTCTCTCCCCTCCTCTCTCTCTAAAATCAATAAAAATACATTTTTAACAAAAAAAAGAGAGAAAGAAAAAAGTTCACTTCTCTCTTGGCAAAGCAGCCTTGTGCCAAGGCCTAGAGTTTGGTAAGTGGAGCATGGGCTGGATTTCAGGCCCCACTTATCTGTTCAACTGAACTCCCTTGTATAGCAGCCATCCTGTACAACTGTTTCCAGCAGCCCTGATTACTAGAGCCTGCCTCATAGGTGATCTCCATGTGTATGACTAACATCTAGCCTACTCTACAGTTGACTCTTGAACAGCACAAGTTTGAATGTCACGGGTCCACTTACACATGAATATTTTCAGTAAATATACAGTCAGCCCTCCATAGCTCCAGGTTTTACATGCACAGATTCAACAGACTGCAGACTGAAAACAGAATTTTGGATCCATGGTTGGGAATCTGTGGATGCTGAGAGCCAACTTAAGTTATATTTGGATTTTTGACTGCACCCAAACCCTTGTGTTATTCAAGGGTCAACTATAATATGTATCACAGGTGTAAATATTCCAGAAGTCTCTCCCCCATTAGGTCCTGTGTTAAGGGACCATGATTAATCACCCTGCTAAATGTTTTCAGTGTCTAGCTAGCACAGTGACCCAAAGACATCTTCACCACAATAGCTACTACTTATTGAGTCCCTGCTAATTCTCACAACAACCTTACATGAGATAAATATAATTGTTCCCAGTGTTCAGATGAGAAAACTGAGGCTCAGGAAGGTTAATGTGCCCAAAGCATCACAATTAGTAAGGCACAAAACCAGGTTCAAATTGAAGCATGCCTAATTCAAAAGATCTGTGTTTTCTAGAGTCTAGATGATATAGGAACATGGTATGAAAGAAAGTAAGAAAAGGTAGTTATTCACGCTAGTAGTGATGATGGTGGTGGAGGTGTTGGTGGTGAAGTTCTGGAGGAGACTGGGGTGCCTCGGGAAAATAACTTAGGGAGACAATGGGGAGCCTAGGTGAGGGATGAGTTGGGGGGTCTCACCAAAGAAGCAGTAGACGACTCCAAACAGACAGCACATGATGCAGACGAGGGCGGGCAGTGCCTGGTATCTGCGCTCCAGGGGCTGTTCACAGGGTGCACCCCAGAAGGCATCATCTGGCTCGGGGGGCAGCAGCTGGAACCGCAGTGTTGCCACAGTGCCTGGCATAGTGCTAGGAACGAAAGGGAGTCACCCTCCCAGGTCAGCCTGACAGAGAGGAAGTTGGAGTCAAGGAGGAGCCCTGGGTCTCCACCAGGACAGGGCGAGAATGGGAGAACTAGACAAGGGCACACTGGACAAAGGAGTGGCGCCCACATCAGGCAGCTCCGGAGGCATCCCTACGTGGGGGACAAAAGACAAAGGGCACAAAAGTGTCTGGCCCGAGGGGGCCAGAGTGAAGAAGTCGGAGGGGGAGCTGGGTTGGGGGAGACGCGGGCAGTGTGCTGCCGGTGAGGAGGACGCAGGAGACTCGTCTGTGGGCGGCTAAACCTGGGCTTGTCCAAAATCTACCTGGGCTGGAGGCGACCTGAGCTTTTGAGTGAAAGAGGCTGTGCGGAGGCCGAAGGGTCCGGGGTGGCGGGGCGCCAGAGGCCCCGGCTGCCTGCGGCCCGGGGA